TGCTATGGTAACGTTGCTTGCTGAAAGAGTCATTCTAGCAAGTGGGGATTGTGTTGCAAGATATCAAGACGATACCTTTAACTGGAAGGCGTATGTTGTTGTCGATGAGTGAGATTGTGCTGCGTGTATTCCTGTGGTGTGTTGGCTTTGCTTGTTTTTCCATTTCAGCTTTGCCCATGTGACCAAAGTCAACGTGTATTGGTCGTGAAGGAAACATGGGATTGAACCTTTTTACTGTGGGGTATCTGTGTAGTTGAAGACTGAACGATCGATTCATGGTTGTTTCTCAAACGCAACTCTGTATTTTGGCGAAAGTCATCAATACTGCAGTCATTGTCTCAACGTTCGCTGTTCGTTGGAAGACAGGGAAAGAATATCAGAAGTATTTCTGTGATATATTGTTATGACATTTATTCTTGGACTTTGTATACAATTACCTAATGGTTGGCTGTGTATTGGTGCAAGAATATAGGGTTCTTGATCCACAAATTTACGTTCTGATTTTTTGCGTTGATTACTGAGCATAGTTCCTGAAAGTCTGACAAGGACAATGTGAAGTCCAGCATTGGTAGATCTGGACAGTGACATCAGTATTATTTAATTGAAGTTGTAATCTGTGCGTTGGTGGCACAGTGGTTAGGACTCTCGCCGACCATGCACATGTTCTGATCCCCTGCCGACCCACACCTGATATCTATGGTCGGCCTGCAAAATTTGGGCTACCGATATCCATGCTGAAAATTCCATACTTGTACCAAAAATGCAGTGTGGAATCAACCTGTAATCCAAAATAAAAATAAATAAAATATATTCGGCACGGAGAACTCTTTTGGTCTATTAAATCTTACTGGAGTATTCAGTGGAGTTAAAGTTGTGGTGCATATCTCCTTGACTTGTTGTTGCTCCCAAACGTAGGAGATTACTGAATCTTTGTTTATCGAATATACATCTAACACATTCAATTGAAGTGACTCATCTCTAATACCAGCGATATGGGAAATACTACTACCAATCAAATCAAGCGATTAGCAATAGCGGAATCATATAAACAAAGTTAGAAAGTTGTGAGTGTACCTTAATATTGGTTATGAGCAGTAAACTGTGCTCGGAACGTTATCAATAAATAAAAGTGTGCAACAATGTGAGACTTTATCAAAATAAACTTTATCCACAATGGAATTTAACTCCACCACAATGCGCAAGTTTCATCCTTGAGTTCCTAAGAAACTCGACCAAATCCAAAATAGGCCAGACGGTTCCAATTAAAATTCACCTAATCCAAAACAAAACCGATCTGCTCCAAACAGAATTATATTGTTGACAGACTGTTGATGGACTTCAAGATTATAGTCCTATTAAACAAAATGTATCAAACAAACACAGTACAGACCCTCATACATAATAAGTTATTCAACATCCCAACGCTGAACGCAGTAGCTGATCACAAAAGTAGCTAGCAGTTTACAAAACTTTAGTTCAAACAAGAAATGTTCAAGAGTCCATTCAAGCAGAAACTGTCTGATTAACATAAAATGCGAAATCGTATCTAAAGTGCAAATTTATTGTTTAGAGGTGGAATATTATGCGTGACAATCGGTAAAGTCTCAAATTTGTTGTACTGGGTACCTGTCTGGGTTGGTTTGCTTTAATAGTGCCCTATAACCACCACGAGAGTGCCAATCGGTCTGATTTTTCCTGGACATCATGTGTAACTGCTCGAAGACTGGATAATTCCTACTTGAAGCATATCATCATATCTGGATTTCGCTATTTTCAGCCTCTTGGCCTGGCAAATATTGAGGGTTCATATGTCCTTACAGTATGAGCAGTTTTCGGGCAAACTTAAGGAGTTTGAGGTTCGGTTGCCGTCAGAGTTTCGAATTCAGACAGCAATATCAGGAACCTCTCAGTCGCTACTGGCGGGGATTCAACTAGATTCAACCAATGGTGTCAGCCCACTTTGCCATTCGCATATCAGGAGGTCTCTTCCATTGTTACATGTCTCTTTCTGGTATCCACTAATAAGTCACATCTTTCTTTGAAGTCAATTCCGACGACTGCTGGGCCTAGATCAGAACAGAGAACACCCATGAGGGCTGTCGTTTAAACCCGAGGTCATGAGTCAGTGACTTCTGTCTGAAAGTCACTGTCTTGATCTTCTTGGAGGCCTACAGCATGACGAGGAACTTTTTCTGTCTCGGCTCAGCCTTTGTTTTTAGTATGATACTGATTGAGGCTCCTGTATCAACCGAGAAATCTACACCGAAGTTTTTATCCTTGACGTAGAATAAGTGACCATCCAGACACCCCGCTCATTTTTCGGTTTCCCGTTGCTTGTGAGGTTGGTCAGTCCGGGCTCATGGTTGTGTGCATTTTGTTGACTGTGCACCAAACCTCCAGCAATGTCAACAGAGTCGGCCTATTGACCTAGTTCGTCGGGGCCAACTATCTGACCAAGAACCTGCTCTACGAGATCTGCCTCATCTACCCTATGTTAACTGTATTTGTACCAGTTGTTCCGTCAGAGATCGAACGTTGCCGGACGTTCTCAGTGAAATTATGACAGTGACTGGGAAAACTAACTATGGCTTTAAACGGAGTACAATTTGAGAATGTGCATCGGCGGCACAGCGCTTAGGACACTCGCCGACCATGCACATGGTCCGGGGTTCGATCCCCTGCCGACGCGCACGTGATATCAATGGTCGGCATGCAAACTTTGGGCTGCTGATATCACACGCTGAAAATCCTATACTTCCACCGAAAATGCAGTGTGGAACCAAGCTATAATCAAAAAACAATCCAACTTCAATTATTCGAGTGCTGAACTGAGTATTAACACCAATTCCTAAAATTACATGCGGATATTCCGTTTCCTGAACACCTACTAACATACTCACACGCAACGCGCTTCTTTCATCCGACCATTCGGTGCCACTGAGAATAAAATTTAACTTCCTAAGACCATTCAATTCGAGTCAGCCACATCAATGATACCACCACTGTTCCGCTTTTTCACAAAAATACGTGACCTTTCTACTGAAGTTCATCTGTATGGATTATATGTGATTTTATATACATGAGATCACATTGTTAGCACTATAAAGTCACTGTTTTCACCACCAGTTTCTATCAGAAAACATTCATCTGCCTATATATATGCTTGTTCAATGTTTAAAAGTTTCAAGTGCACAGTAACAGAGACTGACAATCATTTTCATGTACACTTTCAGTGATCGCATCCGCATTCCCATTCACAAATGCGTCGGTGGCACAGTGGTTAGGATCCTCGCCGACCATGCACATGGTCCGGGGTTCGAGCCCACGCCGACGCTCACCCGATATCTATGGTAGGCCTGCGAATTTTGGGCTACCGATATCCACGCTGAAAATTCCATACTTGTACCAAAAATACGGTGTGGAATCAAGCTGTAAATAAAAAAAACAACATATCGCCTAATATTGATTTCTGGATTTATGACCAATCCCCACCTTATTCTCCCTGGGCTCTTCCCATGCACATAATACTCCCTGACACGTATCTACTCACACGCTGTCTTTTATGCCGTGATCTGCCATACACTCAGAGAGGTCTCAAACATTATCGACACGTCCTCGAAACGCATCGGACACTTTGGAAAAGATAAAATGAAGGGAACAAGATGATGAAGGCTCACTAGGATTACTACAAATTTACCATGAATGCCAGAGAAACAGGTGAACATTGCAAATATCTCAGTTCATTGTTCACCATCCTAGTGGGTAAATTAGTTTTCTCTTCCTAATGACACTCATTATCTTATATTTTTCTGCGAAATATTCACTTTAGATGATTTTTAGGATCATATCTCATAGTGCTTGTACCGTCAGCATTATTTTCCGGCAGATAAGGCACATAATTTCCATATTATGGTTTCACATCACATGGAACTTTGACAATATTCAGAAGGAACTTTCTCGGCAAGTTCGGTGATGTGCATTCAACAATCAACTTTGCAACTGATTGGCAGGCTAGCACTTCATTCTAACTCGTTTTCCTTAACAGGAGGGAGGACTGTACACAAATAATAAGTTCATAAAAATACTCATAACGACAGGTCAGTATACTCACCTTTAAAATGTAGGCATAGGTTAGTAAAATGTTTATTTAATGGAGCTAGGATAATCCGCTCAAACGACTCTGTCAACATGCAGCTCAAGACCACCCGCGAATTATTCAGTTGAAGCGGTTATCTAGATAAACGCAGTGATAACAAATATGGATTTAGCGACAAGGCATTAGCTCAAAAGAAGCTCTCGTCTTTGTAATTTCTTGGGAGTAACACTACTGAAATCATAATACAACACCTAAATAATGCAATGGAAAGACCGTTCATTGCTACGGGAGAATGTTTTCTTTTAACAAGCATTCCAGATTTGCTCCTTGCCTTTCCAAAATCATGCATTACGCAATCCACCTGTCTAATTTTTGCAGTTACGTCTACGCATTGTTGTATTGGTTTTTTAGTTGATTATCACCCCCTTGATATTTATTTATTGATGTCACATAACTTATAACGCTGGATTGGTGATTTCTTATGACATTAAAAATACCACATATGTAATAGTAAAACAGATGAGGATCTAGTTGTAAAGTAAATATTTCCCCTCCCGGTTCTTTAGTCTTCTATGCTCAGAATAATATAATGAGAATTTTCGAATTTTAAAATAGTAACATGGAGTATTCCTACAGCAGGACATCCTAGCTCCAATTGAGATTGTTGGTAATTACGCCAAGTGTCACATTAATTTACATCATTGATAGATTTTGTCTTCTCCTATTTCTTAACACACAGTCAGTCCTATTATGGGTTTTTAAATTCCTAAAAACAAAATGTCAGATTCTTTCGAAGGTCTCACTTGCTGTTGAAATAGGAGTTTATATAGTACGATATTGAACGCCAAGTTTGTTTGTATTGTGTCCTTCGCTGTGGCGCCCATCACTCTTAACGTTTTAGCAAATGTCATTTCAGAATCTTCGAACTTACGGTGGGTTTTACCTTATGTTTACTAATCTGAATCTTTAGATCCATTCGCTGAAGAAGGAGAGTCTAAGGTAGAGGGAGGAGTCGTCCATATTCGAATACAACAAAGAAATGGTCGCAAAACTCTTACCACTGTTCAAGGGATTCCTGAAAGATTCGACAAACGTAAAATCCTGAAGTATTGCAAGAAACATTTTGCTTGCAATGGTACAGTAGTCGAACACGACGAGTACGGAGAAGTTTTACAATTTCAGGGTGATCAAAGAGACAATCTCAAGTCATTCCTGTGTAGTATGAACATAGTAACACCCAACGATGTTAAATTGCATGGTTTTTAGATGTTTGGTATGTCATACAGTCCTTTGAAACACTATACCTGATATTTTTATTATACGTAAGGGTGCATCTCTGTACATTTACTCTGATTTGGCTTTTAAAGACTCTGCAGTACTCTCTTCCTATCTATTAACAAGGTTATAAGGCTGTTGTCTGGTGAAATAAAAATCAGTCGTGATATTGTTCTGATAACAAAGATGTTTTATTTTCATCTATCTATAATGCTTCTTTTGTTTACCTTTCTTACATGTTTAACTTTTCCTTATTCACGTAAGGGAATTAGTAACTCGATTTAACTATCAGATTAAATTGGGTCATTACTTGAAGAAGCTGAGAACCAGCAAATACCCCATAAACGTAAATGCAAGGTCGTGGTTGTGTACGTCGCTTTTTGTCTTCATCTATGTGGTTTTTTGTGAGGGAACTATTAGCACTGGATCCATTCCAAAGCATATTTCGACAGATTATTTCTAGTCTTCCGGGAATGTGAAACCAGCTCATAATCCATGTTCTGTTTATCATCCGGCCAGTTGTAATAAATCAATGAGGATAACATGTTTGTAACGCTAGATTTCCCTGATGGGATAGCATAAAATAAAGTCAGAAATGAGTCTTCACACCCCTCTAGGCTGAATTTTGTATTCGAGTATGCTCTTTATCTCAGGTCTAGCGTACCCGTCTAAACTATTTGTCTAAGTGTGCTATTCTTACATAAGAGATACCTCGTGGATAGTTGTCTCGCAGAAATCGACCTATGTTCTAGTGTTACTTGCACTTGTGGTGTCTGAGAACAAATTTGCTCTACAGTCCGAAAGGGACGACGATAGGGTTTTTGCATTGTGTGAGTAATACATCAATTATTCTATTTCTTTAGAAGGGTTAGGTAAGGTATAACTTGCTCCTATTCGTAACTGGCAGTAAGAATTACTAATAAACGGCAGTTCATAAACTCCAATATCGTTATAAAGATAGTGTCTACCTTGAAACCTATGTTTGTTTTGTCATGCATAACGAATCAGATTACCCATAGCCCAGGGAATTCTGGTTTATTGGTTGACCTAGATGAAGTTTAATAACTGACTACTTCCTGTGAAACACGTCCAATAGTGGTCACGTGTTCGTCTTCTTGGTGTACACAACTGAACAGTTGATGCAAATTTTTTGTGCACTCAATTTGGCGGTAGGAATGTTGCGGCAACATTTGGTAAAGTGAATGAACGTGCTTGGTGCTCTCTGAAGACGCTGTCAAGTGTGTTTTCCTATCTTTAAAAATGGCTAGGAATAAACAGTACTCTGAGCTGATGGGTGACCAAGCTCAGCTTAATGAAGTGATCATTAACAATGTAGATAAGTAAGGTTAGCAGATGTAAGTAAGGTATTGGTGTGTTGTAAATAGCTATTTAAATTAACATGTCAGATGGACTAGCGGAGAGTTGGTCATCGTCTTAATAACAAGGAAGCCAACTGCAATAATGAACCGGAAACTTTTGGAACAATTTAACTGACCTCCAGTTACTTTTCAGGTAGTTTTTCTTCCGCCGTCTGAATGACAGGCGGAAGTGAAGTCATTTAATAGGTGCTAAAGAAGCAGTCATTGAATACAAGTGTAATTACTGACTAAACTGAACGACATTTAGCTAAGTTGTGGAAATTAAACATGACTCCGCCTATAGCGTCTCATGCACTATTTTTTCGAGTACTTAAGTAAGAAGGAAAACACTGTTGTTATAGTATAGTTTCTAAAATATTTTAATTTACGAGAAATAGATCTAAGAAGCAACATATTAGCTGAATCCAAGCTTGTTCAAAATGTAGTAGCGTATTTATTTACCAGTCATTTTCAGTCTGTCAATTCATGGAGAGCAGTTACGCGGTATTTTAACCTTTCCATCCGAAGACAGCGCTTCACTCTGAAATAAGTTTATGACTTCATATGATTATTTCTCTTGATAAACCTGAACAAAACAAAGAAAAACTGGATATTTTGTATACTGATATTATATTGTTTATGGCTGTATGCAGTTGATAAGAGATAAAGAAATATAATGACGTTACTGTATCGTGCTTGATTTTTTTTATACGTTCATATAAGTATGTAGCTCATGGTGATAATAGAGTCCACCTCCATATGAAATCTCGGAAAAAATTAGGTGATTTTCATTCCACTCCATCAGTGTGAATGTTGTGGCTATACTTACCACTGAAAATAATGACCATTGAGTGTATCTCCTTTCTGCGTATTCATACTCAACCACTCGCAGTTGCGTTATTGTCTGTATCTAAATATCCAGTGGTGTTCCCTCTCAGTTTCTACTCGCATTCCTTCCTATATGTGAATTCACAGCTATCTTGGCTGTAACAGATACCTTAATCGACATAGAATACGCTAAAGGCATAGTTTTGCCAGGTGCAAATGGCATTAAGATTCAAAGTCTTCTGAGTAATTTGGCTGGTAATTTATGCATTTTTACCTTCCAAATTAAAATCACTACAGCGATACTCTGTCTGGCTGTGGTGTGTGTGACCATCTTAACTTCTCAAGGGGCTAAAACAGTCTCAGCACGGACATAAGAAACTCCCCTGAATTGCCTTACTTAAGGCATAAGCGAGGTAGGTGGTTGACCGAAGATGTCGAATATGATGTGGTCTGTCATGCTGTATAGCTTCGGGATACAGTCGGAGGATCTACCAATATATTTTATTTTTGATTACAGATTGATTCCACACTGCATTTTTGGTACAAGTATGGAATTTTCAGCATGGATATTGGCAGCCCAAATTTTGCAGGCCGACCATAGATATCAGGTGTGGGTAGGCAGGGGATCGGACCATGAGCATGGTCGGCGAGAGTCCTAACCACTGTGCCACCGACGCACAAATACTCCGTCCGAAGACATCTGAAAAAAATGAGGTAAGACTCATTGTATTGTGCCTCCCCACGGAAATCTTTAGTAAAAGGTGAAAGATTTATCCGCAAACGAGGAGACACCAGAGTTTGTACTCTATCCCTCCCGGATTACTATTCCTATTTATTGGAACAGCTATATGAACGATGTGGGGGTGTAGGTTCCTAGTTAAGCTAAACACTTCAGTCAAATAATCCATACTTCTCGAGGTGGCTAGTACTTGTATTTCGCATAATGTGCCATCGCTTTATTAGAACAGAAATGTTAGCTGAATTAGAAAAAAGTCAGGGTGGTCAGGTACAAACTTTGCATCGATTCATTAAGTCGAGAATTATATGTCTGAACCTTGTGGGGAAACAGAAATTACCTTCTTAAGTTCACCTGGCCACTTTCGGTTCATATGATAACTGAAATACGAATGCATCATATTTTTAGGAAATAACCTTGTTTTTACCATATTGTGATTTGTCACGATTACTATTAAAAATTTGATGGTTTCGATGCTTCAACCCACTGACCGAATCATGGTTTCTTTACTTCGTGTTTTGACAATCGATTACTTGCGGTATTCTCTATGCTCGCAGTTGAACAGTCTCAAATGCTTTCTGGTAATCAGCATTATCCAGACTATGTCGTTTCCCTCAAGGACCTTCTTACTTATTTACTAAGAACTGCGTAAAAAGATATCACATTTTACGCACGCGATGGTTCAGATATAAGGTCTTATTATTCATTTGATATCAGTAGCTTTAAGACTTTCTTATATCAAACTGTGCTAGACTTAGGCTTTTATGTAATATGCTATGGTATTTTGAAAGGTAAACTGGCATCCACATGGTGTATATATAGAAGCACGTCAGGCTTGACTACTTAACATGGAAATTTGTAAGGTATCTGCTGGAATTTTGTGAACTTTTTAGTTATAGTGTTTGTCTGTTTTCATGCTTCAAATATTTTAAGTTGTAAAACATCATATGCAGCCTAGCGGATAGGTAGTATGCTCTCCTACGCTGACAAGCGATTATATGTAATCTAGTTCGACCTTAAGGCGAAAAAGAACAAGGTTCTAGATACAATGACAGTGTAATGCAGCTTGGTAAATGGCTGAGGCATCGCTTTCCACATTGTAAAAAATATTTATTGTAAGCAGCAGGTCAAATTATACGGAATGAAAATGTACACTGGCTTTATGAGTCCTGAATCGGACGGTAGCTAATCCCCATGGATCTGTTTTTACGTTAACCGGAACGGTGTGGATTTCGCTCAGCGAAATCCTTTATCTAGTAAGTATTTAGGTCCGTGCGTAGTATTCATTGAACAATTTAGAAGTCTCGTCACATTATTAAACTAAAATTCCTACAATTAAGCGTTCGCAAAAGCTCTCTTACTCTGAACAATGCTAAAGAGCCTAAAAGTCATGCGTGAACAATTGTCGTATATCATCTTAGTGAATTATTGAGATGTCTCTGGTCTACTAAGTGTGATTTGTTGCTCCATAACTGGTTGGCATCCACACAGTTTCATATCACCCAGTTTGAAGTAGGTGGAACAAGTTTCGAATGCATCAGTTGCTGAAGCGACAGTTTAGTTTCTTTATTGATATTTAAAGCTAGTGTGAGTGTTGTTTTCCTTTCAGCAAGTAATAAACGATAATGAATCAAAAGTGCAGTAGTAATCACACAGATAAAGTGTTTGTTATATAGTACAGATTCCCCTTGATTTAATCCGTTTTCTAACTGCCAGTTAGTGTATGATTACAAAAGCATTTCTTGAATTTCTAATTGCGTCAACTGGTGATGTGTTCTATTTTTTTGATTTACAGCTTGATTCCACACTGTATTTTTGGTACAAGTATAGAATTTTCAGCATGGATATCGGTAGCCCAACTTTTGCAGGCCGACCATAGATATCAGGTGTGCGCCGGCGTGGGCTCGAACCCCGGACCATGTGCATGGTCGGCGAGAGTCCTAACCACTGTGCCACCGACGCACAGATAAGAACAGGGAATGCAATAAAGTACAAACACGACAGGAAATTTCACCATACAAACGATCTTGTAAGAATTGCCGCGATGTATTTCCAGTAAAATCTCTCCCGAAATACTAGTCAACTTCTTTATGGGTTTTCGTCATCGTTATTTTACCACTAGATTTGAAACAGCCGAAATGAAAAACATTTGGCTTGTTATCGTTACATCATTTACTGAATGGTTACTCTGTCTTTTGTC